GCCATTGGTCGCTTCTAGCCCATCCTGTCCCTGCCCCAGGCCTTCACCACCCTATTGTCTGTGTCCGTGGGTTATGCACATCCTATATAATAAAAGCCTGATATTCTAAGTATCCGGTCTTCTGGTCGTCTGTTCAACCAATCAAAGTGCAGTATGCTAATGATATGCTAAGGCCGCTCAACCGCTCGCTATGACATGCACTGACCACCAGGGCGCCCACAGTCAATAAGGAGGGAATATGCTAATAAGGAGGGAATATGCTAATAAGGAGGGAATATGCTAATAAGGAGGGAATATGCTAATTGACGGCCACGCCCTCAAAGATGGCGGCGCCCAGTCCCCTCAGCCCCCCAGCTGCCCAGGGCCGCCCGAGGCACAGGTAACCAGGGCCGGCCCAGGCTTGCGCTGCTGGCAGTGGCAGCAGCAGAGGTGTGATGGGGGCGTTGCCTTCCCCTGATCGCCGGGTCGCCTCCAGCCCCTGAGGGCTCCCCGACTTTGAGAGGGGGCAGGCCGGGCCGAGGGACCCCCCTCCAGTGCCTGAATTTTCATGCACCGGACCTCTAGTAGAAAATATAATGAAAATCCTAGAATGGGGGGGGGGAACCACACACCCTCTGCATTTCACCTGTAATACTTAAAATAGTGACTGGTAAGTACTTATCTGTCACATTGAAAGTGTTGGCTATAGCACAGCTTTCTTCTCGCTGACAAAAGGGCTGATTATGTTCACTGCTGTATTAGCTCGCCATTGCTTAAAATAGCCTTCCTGGGACTGTTACAAAAGGATTAAAAAAAAAAAAGAAGAAGAAGGATATAAGTCACTTTTTGTTAACTTAAAAAAAAAAAGATCCAAGGAGACTTAGAGGGGAGTGCCTGGCTTATGAATTGGGGATACATAGCCTCTACCCTCTTACAAAGCTTTTCAGATATATTATCTTATTTTATTCTTGTGACGGCTGGCGAAGACGAACGGGCACGCCATTGGCAGCAACTCGCAAGATTGGAAATGCGTGTAGCCTTGACTCAGCAGTTCTGAGAGTCAGTGCCATAAATTCTTGTGTAAGTGTGGAAAGAAAAGACGTACAAGGAAGGTAACGACAGCATTTTCCCACTGTGGCGTTGTCAGAAATAACCCCAAACCGGGGACTATAATAGACACGCCCATCGGTGGGGAAAGCTTACGTAAATGACAACACACCCGTGGCCCGGACCCCCTTGCCACCTGTAAAGAGAGACTGGAGATGGATAGACGTGTGCTGACATCGAGCACTGAATGAAAAAAAAAAGAGCAAGTCGCAGAACTTAAAAAGAAGACTTGTTATTCCTCTGTGTCTGCGTTTTTTAAAATGTCTGTACATCAAACTGAGCAGTAGTTACCCTAGAGCCGTGGTCGGCAAACTCATTAGACAACAGAGCCAAATATCAACAGTACCACGATTGAAATTTCTTTTGAGAGCCAAATTTTTTAAACTTAAACTATATAGGCAGGTACATTGTTATTAACTTAATTAGGGTGCTCCTAAGGCTTAGGAAGAGCCACACCCAAGGGGCCAAAGAGCCGCATGTGGCTCGCGAGCCGAGGTTTGCCGACCACGGCCCTAGCGGAAGGGAGATGGGGGGCATCACATCAGAACTGTGTCTGTTTGTTTTTAAATGTATCTTTACTAGAGGCCCGGTGCATGACATTTGTGCACTGGGGGGGGGGTTGTCTCAGCCTGGCCTGCGCCCTCTCGCAGTCTGGGACCCCCTCGGGGGATGTCCACCTGCCGGCTTAGGCCCAATCAAGTCAGACATCCCTCTCACAGTCCAGGGCTCTCGCAGTCCGGGACCCCTCGCTCCTTACCGCCTGCCTGCAGTGGAGGCAGGAGAGGCTCCCGCCACCACTGCTGCGCTCGCCAGCCATGAGCCAGCTGAGCGGCGCTCCCCCTGTGGGAGCACACTGACCACCAGGGGGCAGCTCCTGAGTTGAGCGCCTGCCCCCTGGTGGTCAGTGCGTGTCATAGCGACCGGTCGTTCTGCCATTCGGTCAATTTGCATATTAACCTTTTATTATATAGGATTGATTTCAGAGAGAGGAAGGGAGAGGGAGAAAGACACAGAAACATCAATGATGAGAGAGCATCATGGATCAGCTGCCTCCACGCACGCCCCCTACCAGGGATCGAGTCCGCGACCCGGGCATGTGTCCCGACTGGGAAACGAACCGTGACTTCCTGGGGGTGCCGCTCGACCGCTGAGCCACGCCGGCCGGGCGGTTCCTTAGAGTCTAAGTGCCTCTGTATTGAGTTGAGTGCTCCTTAAGGAACTCAGCCTGTTCCCGCGCGAGTAATCGGATTAACTAAGAAATGTATCTGAACAGAGTGGTCCTCATTGATCGCAGACGTTTGGATTAATATTGCACTTGAAAAGGACTATTAATCATAGCCTAAGTAATAGTTTGGGGTTATGAATGATGACAAACTTTTTTTGAAAATATATTTTTATTGATTTCAGAGAGGAAGGAGGAGATAGAAACATCCATGATGAGAGAGAATTATTGATCGGCTGCCTCTTGCAAGTCCCCTACTGGGGATCGAGCCTGCAACCCGGGCATGTGCCCCTGGCTGGAATCGAACCTGGGACCTTTCAGTCCGCAGGCCGATGCTCTATCCACTGAGCCACACCGGCCAGGACAATGACAAACTTTTGTGTGTGTGTGTGTGTGTGTGTGTGTGTGTTTTAAGTCGAAGTATTTGGTAGGAGAGAAGCCAACATACTAACTTTTGAAAATCTGTGACACAGGCCTGGCTGAACCGTTCTTTGTGGCCAAGCACGAAGACAGTTTGTTTAAGGATCTGTTTCAGGACTACGAGAGGTGGGTCCGCCCCGTGGAGCGCCTGAACGACAAGATCGGAATAAAGTTCGGCCTCGCCATATCTCAGCTGGTGGACGTGGTAGGTGTGCGTGTCCGTCCGGACCCGGCCTCACGCTCCGTGTGGTTAAATTGCTCTTCGGAGCCTCGGCCTAAGAGGGAGGGCCAGGCGGTCCCCCCAGGGCCCCTGCTTCCCGGGCGAGGACCCCACGGCCGCCTTGGCCTCTGGGACCCGCTTCCTTGGGGCCTCCTTCTCCCTTCCGGGCCGTTCTCCTGTCTTAGGGACGGGCCAGGGCGTGGGGTGCCCTCCCGTCCGCTAAGCTATTTGCCTTCTGTCCTCTCCCCTCCTGTCGGGACCACTTGTACGTCCCTGGTCTCTGCACTTACTGTTGTCTTTTGTTTTGTTTTGTTTTTTAGTTTTGTGGTAAAACACAACATTGATTTTTACCATCTTGGCCATGTTTAAGTGCACAGTTAAGTGGTATTAAGTACATTCACGTTATTGTATAACCATCACCACCATCCGCCTCCAGAACTCTCTTCATCTTCAAACACTGAGAGTCTGAGCCTGTGGAACATTCACCCCCCTTTCAACCTGCCCCCTAGCCCCTGACAACCACCGTTCTACTTCCTGTCTCTCTGAAGTGGACTGCTCCAGGCACCTCCTACAAGTGGAACCATACAGTATTTACCCTTCTGTGATTTACAGTGGGGCCTTGACTTACGAGTTTAATTCGTTCCGTGACGGAGCTCGTAACTCAAATTACTCGTATGTCAAATCATAAAGTGAACGAGTGAGACACGTGATGCTGGGCTGATGTGGTGGCGTTCACTGTGACGTTCGCTGCGCCAACTAGCGGTGGGGCATCTGAAGCTGGCTCGTAACCCGAATTTTAGCTCGCAACTCAAAGCAAAAAATCGACCGAGAGACGGCTCGTATCTCGAAAAACTCGTTAGTCGGGACACTCGTAAGTCAAGGCCCCACTGTATTTCCCTTAGCATAACGTCTTCAAGGTTCACCCGTGTTGTAGCACATGTCAGAATGTCCTTCCTGAGGCTGAATAATATTCCATCGTATTTACATATCACATTTGTTTATCCATTCGTCTGTCCATGGACACTTGAGTTGCTTCCACATTCTGCCTGTCGTGAATAATACTGCAGTGAACGTTGGTGTATGTTTTGTGTGTTTTTTTTAATCCTCACCTGAAGACATTTTTCCATTGATTTTTTAAAAATTTGAGTTGTTGCTGAAACCGGTTTGGCTCAGTGGATAGAGCGTCGGCCTGCGGACTGAAGGGT